GAGCAGGGAGCCCGATGCGGGACTCGATCCCGGGACTCCAGGATCATGACCTGAGCCGAAGGCAGTCGCTTAACCAACTGAGCCACCCAGGCGCCCCAGATGATTTTATTATTACAAATTAAATCATATATTTAATCACAAACATGTATACACATATAACTGGTCTGTTTCTGGGCCACTGGTTTAGCTCTTTTATTCTATCCTTATACCAACTGAACGTTTTAGCCCTTTATTTATATACTGCTTATTTCATAAAAGGTTTAAGGTAAAGGGCTTAAAATATAGAGTCAGTTCCTTCTCCTTTCTCCTCTTTTTTTGAATTTTCTTTACTTTTCTTGTCTGATTTTTATTGCAGATGAACAGTAGAATCATTTTATCAAGTACCAAAGATTCCATTAGAGCTGTGATTGAATGTTGTAAAAGCGAGAAATTAATTTGGTAAGAATTGACATCTTTATAACATTCTTTTTTTTTTTTTTTTTAAAGAACACGGCTTGTCTCTCCATTTTCTTCATTGTATTTCTCAGCAAAACTCTGTAATTTTCTTTATATAGGTTCCTCACATTTTGCAGGAAGGTGGCCAGCTAAGCATTTTATAGCAGCATTATTGTTACCATTGTGAATGAGAAAAAACTAATCACAGTACCAAAGGCTTATTGTGTGCAGGGTAGGTTCTCAATGTTTTACTATTTTTAACTAATTTAAACTTAACTAATCCTCCTAACAGCTTTATGAGATAAGAACTATCATTTACATTCTCATTTTATGGAGAAGGAAACTGAGGCCAGAGAGATTATGTTCATGTAGTTAGTAAGTGGATGAACAGAGCTTTCACCATCTGGCTCCACAGTCCATGATCTTAACTATCATGTTATTGGGATATTTTTATTAATTATGTCTTCTGACTGGTTATTCTCAGCGTTTAAAAGGCTACAGATTTATATTGTATTTGTCATGTATCAAGTACTTTTCTAAATTCTATTATTAATTCTCATCATTTTAACATTGATTCTCATGGATTCTCTATGTATACAATCATATCATCTACAAACTGATAAATTTGTCTCTCTCTTTCCAAAAGTTATAACCCCCTTTTAAAATTTCCAGCCTATTGTATTTGATTTTTCAGACTAATACTAAATAACACAGTGATGAGACTAGACATTCTTGTTTTTACACAAATTGTTGACTTCATATATATACATGTGTTTATATATGAAGAATATTAAGACTATTAGGAGTGTTTATAGCAAATGGAATTGACTTGCCACGTTCTCTTTGGTGACTATTAAAATGATCAGATGTTTTTCTTGTTTGGTTTATTTTTGACCTTTTATATAAATAAATTTCCTAATACCTAATCTTGTCTTAAGTCCCAAGATTAAGCCCTAGTTGGTTTTTATGTAATTATTATATTAATATACTGCTGTCTTTTATATGTTAATCTTAAATATTTTAGGATTTTTACATTTATATTCATAAGTGAGATTGGTCTACAGGGTTTTTTGGTGGGGGGCTTCTGCTGACAGGTTTTGATATTCGGTATATTCTGGCTTCGTAAACAAATTGGGTAGTTTTCCATCTTTTTCTGTGTTCCAGAACAATTTCTACTTTCTATTCATTTTGACAGATAAACACTGTATAATAGAGCTGACAAGGAAGAGAATGCAAATCGGCACAGATTATTTTGCCTCAGTAACTCTGCCACTTTGGTAGCTGCGGGACAGCCTTGATTGCACAGAAGCAATTTGGAGCAGTAGGAGGGTCAAACGGGCCTTTATTTTGGTGTGGAAGTCTAGCTGGCTGGGCAGGCACAGAGGTGAGTGAAGGGGCGCTGGGGAGGGAGGCAAGTGCTGAGGGAGAAGTGGAGGACCAGAGATGAAGGGAGTGTTTACAATGGGCTGGAGGTGTTTAAACAAGGTCACAAAAACAGGATCAGGTAAAAGAACTGGGCCTGGAGGTGAGGAATGTGAGGGGAGGGGGGTTGAGGGGCAAGGGGAGAATTATCTGCGAGAGGATACTCTTTCCTTTCCAGAAAAGTTTCCAAGGTTCTGCCTGTTGGTCACTGGTTCCTGTTGAAGAAAGTCCCATTATTTGTCACCCAGGGTATTTGACCCTCTGTCCTACCATCTCCCTACCTTTTCATCTCAGCCAAGGCTTGCATCCAGTAGGCCTTCCATCAGCAACTTACATGCTTCTGAGCACGAGTTCACCATGGAGGGCAGAGCAGAGGGAGGCCAATCAGAAGACAGACTTCCCCAATTCTGACTTTATCCTTAGGGCCAAGTCCTTTACAAGGTGCTCTATTTCTTTTTCACTCCTTCGCTTCTGCTTCTCTCCAGCTCATATAGGCAGCCCCACAGTACCTGCTGTTTTTAGAAGTCACAGGAAAGTGCTGTCGGAAAGGCGGGGAGCATGGTGGTACAGAATTACTGGGAACTGTTCAGCATCATGCTTGCTGTAGAGCTGAGGCCATTCTGAATGACAAAACAAAGGCATCACAGACAAATGAAATTCAGCCATGTGAAGTTATTTTAAGGTCAGCCAGAAATTCCAGGCTCTTTTTGCACAAGTTCTTTTGAAAATTACTTTAACCGATGGCAAAACTGACATTACTTTTCACAGATATTCCTCTCTCCCTCTTACCCATGGATGGGTTAGTTAACAACCAACAGAGCAGCCACCAGCTTAACATCAGGAGGAAGACGCCAGGAGCACAGATGGTCCACAGCCCAGATAATTAGCTTCTGAAGAAGAAACAACATCTAGTAAGTCTTCTCCGAATGGAGAGTTTGGTTGGGCACAGCTGGGGCAGAGAACAAGCTGGCCTCCTCAAAATTCTTTTTTACTTCTTAAAATGTCGGCGGAGCATTCACCCACTTCCTGTGGACAACCATCTACTCATAAGACCTGCAGGGAAGAATTCCAAATAAATATTGTTGACACTCCACCCTAAAGGAGGGTAAGCATAACTCCCTACTCCTTAAGTGTGGGATGCACATGGTTGAGCACAGGATGGAAGGGCGTGGGGAGAGTATAATTTTACAATGGAGGAACCTGATAAACACTGCTTTTGCCAGGTGATAAAGGTCAACATCAACAGTCATAAATTGTGTTGATAGTATGTACTATTGATATGATAGTATGAAAATGACACTTTGTGATCTTCCTCCCCAAACCCATAATCCCAGTCTAATCATGAGAAAACAATCAGACAAATTCCAGTAGTGGGGCATCCTATAGTATGCCTGACCATTTGTTCTCAAAACTATCAAGGCCACGAAAAACGAGGAACAACTGAGAAACCTGACACAGTCCAGAGGAGCCTAGGAGACATAACAACTATATGTAATATGGTATCGTGGATAGGATTTTGGAACAGAAAGAGGATATTAGGTAAACACTAAGGAAATCTGAATAAACTATGGACTTTAGTTAATAATAATGTATCAGCATTGGTTCATGAAGTGTAATAACATTACATTAACCATACATGTTAAGATGTTAATAACAGAGAAACCTGTGGGGAGCTATATGGGAACTCGCTGTACTATCTGTGCAAATTTTCTGTAAATCTAAAGCTGTTTTAAGAAATAAAGCCTAGGGATGCCTAGGTGTCTCAGTCGGTTGAGTGTCTGCCTTTGGCTCCGGTCATGATCCTGAAGTCCTGGGATGGAGTCCGCATCCGGCTCTTTGCTAAGTGGGGAGCCTGCTTCTCCCCGACTGACAGTCCCCCTGCTTGTACTCTCTCTCTCTGACAAATGAATAAAATAAAATCTTAAAAAAAAAAAAGCCTAGTAGTAGTTGTTGTTGGTAGTAGCTGTAGTAGTAATATCTGCAAGAATCAAATGAAGACTAAGATGGGACAAAAGCACTTCCAACCCCTTTAGGCTTCATAGGCATTTCCTTAAGTTGTTTGGCTTTTGGACTTTCATCCTTCTGGAGCACTTACATTGCACCCAGGGTTCTTTAGAGCTTATCCTATCCACACACTTACCATGTTTCCAAGGACTTTGTCCCCGACGGGCCAGGATAATCTCATTCAGTCTCGTGGCTTCTGTCACTACCTCTCTTCTGGCCATTTCCAAATCTGGTCTGGCTCACCTCACTGTTCATCCAACTCTCTATTACACAGCGCCCCCTAGGCGTCCAATTAATTCAGCATTTCCAAACCCGAACTCTCTTTTCCCTAAACCCACTTCCTTCTTGTTTTACTCACAGAGAGGCCAGAACCCAGACTCCTCTTTCTTACGGCTCCCTGCCAGGCAGTCCCTAAGTTCTGTCAATGCTTCCTTCTTTGGGCCTTTTGTACTGTGTTCTCCTTTCTATCTTGAAGGCTCTCTGCCTTCAAGTATTCCCTTTCTCTTCCCTGTGTCTTTCCTTGCTTCATTCCTCTCCTTCCGTTCCGTCCCTCTAACAAGAATGAAGATATTTTCCCAGGCCTCCGCCAGGCAGTTCATCACTCCTCTCTGCTGTAATGCCTCACTATGAATGAATGTGTGTGTATGTGTTTATTTACCTTTTGTGTTTGAGATACAGCATCATGAGGAATTAGTGGCTGAGTTGACACAAACTATTTGTAAATATACTAAGGCCCATACAAAGCCCATTTTAAGAGCACCAGCCACTCTGAATTAGTTAACGGAAAAAGCTGCCATAAGAAGGCCGCAGAACTCAATGAAATTAAGACCTGAAAAATGAAGGCGTGAAAAGATAACAAGGAAACTTCCAAAAGTGTAAGGAAAGGAAGGGAGACTTAAAAGATGCTGTTTACGACCATATAACCATGGGATGTAATAAAGAAACTTCAGTCCCACCGAGCCAGCCAGGAGTCGAACCTGGAATCTTCTGATCCGTAGTCAGACGCGTTATCCATTGCGCCACTGGCCCTGAGACAACTACACTCTTCTCAGTGATGATACTTCAAGCTTATACTGCGGGGTTTCATGGGACGTGTAGTCCCTTAACGGAGGTCTATGAGTGCACGAAGCATTATGGGAGATTGAAGTTCGTCGAGAACCAGCCCCTGAGATTGGTGGATCTTCCGGAGCCACGTCGTACGTCACTATGCAGCCCGCGGATTGGCGGGAAGAGCCACTCCCCACCCCTCAGTCTCCTGCTGTGAAGCCGTGGAAGACGCTCTGGTTGTTAGGGCGACTCATCCCGCCTTCCGGGGGCTTTTTTCTGGTTTTGTGATTGGCTGCTAATATCAAGGAATCCCGGCGTGGACAGCGCGAGGGAAAAGATGGCGGCGATGGCGGTCGGAGGTGCCGGTGGGAGCCGCGTGTCCAGCGGGAGGGACCTGAACTGCGTCCCCGAAATAGCTGACACTTTGGGGGCTGTGGCCAAGCAGGGGTGAGGGCCCAGACCTCCGCAAGCGGAATGCGGGCTCCGAACTCGGGGACGAAGAGGGACAGACTAGTCATCCCCGAGAGGCAGGGGTGAGGGGGTCGGAGTGGGTAAGATTAGGGCGGGAGAAACCATTACTCCTTGGGGGAGGATGGAGAAGCCTTAGGCCCTGGAGCGTGAAAAAAAACAAAAAACAAAACAAAACAAAAGAAAACCCAAACAAACAAAAACTTGCTGGGGCGTATGGTCGCTGAGCCCCAAAGTCACGGGAGTTGTCAGGTAAACTCAAAAAGGACTAGAGACCTCTAAGGCCCCGGAGAGCGGGATTATAGTCTGAGAGTGGGGGGGAGTGTTAGAGGGTTAGGGAGAGAAGAGATAAACCTTGAGGGGGAAGGCATGGGCGGTACTGGGGCAAATCTGGATGTAACAATCTTGGAAAACCGGTGACAGCAGAGTAGAAAATCCACTTGGCGTGGGTTTTTATCTTTTCTCCTTTTCCATGCCTGTGTTTTGGGGAGAAACAGGCACAGTACAGCGGAAGTGATAGGCCCCAAGGTGGGCTGAACTCAGCAGTCCAGTCGGGTGACTGATGGCAGCTGAAAGGGTTGTGCAGATTTGAGATAGCCTAATCCAGTTGCTTGGATCTTTAGGCACTGCTGCTCTCTTTACATGACGATTCTGGGTCTGTCGCGGTTGTAGGTTTGATTTCCTCTGCATGCCTGTCTTCCACCCGCGTTTCAAGAGGGAGTTCACTCAGGAACCTGCTAAGAATCGGCCTGGCCCCCAGACACGATCAGACCTACTGCTGTCAGGAAGGGGTAGGGACCATCCCATATGCCCCTTAATTATTAGAGGCAGTAACAACTTCTGCTCTAACAGTGCCCTCATTCTCCTCCTTTCCTGACTTGGATATATTGGTTAGTCCTGGGACATAGATAACTCTTCTTGTTTTCTTCTTGCTTACCTGCTAAAAAAGCCTTAGCCTGTTTTGCATCAGGCTATCCCACATCTGTGATAGAAAAAGTCTTTGTCGCTCATCTCTACTCTCTATTCCCTGTTAAGAACTAGAAATTGAACAAGTAAAGTGCTGAACCTCATTTAGTCTTTGTCTTTCTTGGATGGGGGGAGTGCAGACTGGAATACGCTAATTGTGGGAAAGCTATCTCCATGGATTCGTCCAGACTCAAAAGTGGAGAAGATCCGCAGGAACTCCGAGGCGGTAAGACACTTTGACCTCTCCACTGGATCTTTCTAGAAATCAGGTCCATAACCCGGCTGGGTGCAGAGAGCAGTTTTTCCTCCCATAACTTAGTAAGTCTAATATAATACAACTAAAGCTATTTGGGTTGCTAGCTCTTAACCTTTTCCTCTTGATCTCCATTCCAGGCCATGTTACAGGAGCTGAATTTTGGGGCATATTTGGGTCTTCCAGCTTTCCTGCTGCCCCTAAATCAGGAAGATAACACAAACTTGGCCAGGGTTTTGACCAACCACATCCACACTGGCCACCACTCATCCATGGTATGGCCGAGGGCCTCATTTTCTGCTGCTTATTGGTAGTCAGGCTGTGCTAGGTACCTTCTTGTTCCTAGCCATTCAGTAAAGGGTGCATTTGGCAGAACTGAAGTGTCAGTACTGCCTACCACCATCTAAAAGTAGTAAGCAGAGGGGTAGAAAACATACAGAATGTACAATTATTTCTAGAAACTTACAGTTGCAATAATGAACAGGGGAGATATTTACATAAGGATATATACAAGATATGAGTACGTGTAGGTATAATCACAAGTTGGGAAAAAACATAAAAGGATTAACTTGAGATCTGGATCAAGATAATTGAAGGAAGCTTTTGGACCCAGTGAGTTCAAAATAGACTTCTAAGTAGGGTACTGGTTCATGTGCAGTTCTGGATGCGGGTACCCTTGGTGGCTCCAGAGGACCTTAGAGATGATATCATTGAGAATGCACCAAGTACACACACAGAGGAGTATAGTGGAGAGGAGAAGACATGGATGTGGTATGTCTCCTTTTGCTGCTGTACCAGGGCAAAGGGTAGGGGGAGGGGAAGTACAGGGTGGATCCTGTAGGGTGGTCTCCTCCCCCTATGGTGATTGGTGGGCCGTATATATTGACTGTATTTTGCTGTATTTGACCCTGGACAGGTGGCACAACTTCCGGACCTTGTGTGACTATAGCAAGAGGATTGCGGTGGGTAAGTCCACAAGGGTCCTGGGATAGGTGTCCTTTCTCAGACCTCCTGTGAATAAGAATCAGGAGTTACAGAGATGCCAAGTGAAGTGTGTGCATTTTTGATAACTGTGTACTTCTGGCGACTTTACAGTTTAAAATACTACTTTTTATCAATTTTTATAAAAATGCAGAATTTTGTTTTGCTTTTTTTTAAAGATGTTGTTAGCACACAGAACACTTCATTATTGTTTTAGGGGAAGGGGACATGTCACTAATAGAGTATCTCCGAAGCTAGATTAATACTGGGGGGGGGGGGGGGGGGGGGATACTTTTCCCTTCTAGTTTTGAGAAACTTCCTCTTGGTTCCCAGGACGAGGGATTCCTTGGTGTTGACACACATTAGCCACCTTGGCACAGATGCCTTGTGGTGTGGAAAAACTAAAATTCATTTTTTACATTTTCTTCTCCCTCTCTGCCTTCAACATAGACTTGACTCCCTTAAACCCAGGGACCTGTTGGAACCTGACCCCAAAGCATGGTTCCTAGTTTGTCAGGCAATATGGGCTTTGCAGTGTCACCATGGAGATGGCAGCCCTCAGAAGAGTTCCTTTTTTAGCTTGTGGATCTTCAGATTGAAAATTCTGCTATTTTCATTTGATTTCCTGAAAGTCAGGGTCAGCTTGTGAAAAGTTGTTAACATGCTAAATGTGAACTGTCAACACTCATTCTAAACTCCCTGTTCAGAGCATCACATAAAGACTTCATTGGGTTTTATAGTAAGCTCTCTGATTTTGGTAGTCCACTGAGGAAGGGAGTTTGAAAGTAGTTGTATACTGTTGAGGATTGTCTGCCCACGTCCTGCCTGAAATACCATGATTGTTTATGAAAAGTATCTTTAGTGAAGCTGGATACAATTAAAAAAAAAAAAGAAAAAGAATCAGGAGTTTCATGTATACTTGGCTGCTGGGCAGTTTTGCTACTCTCTGTATGCCTCAGTGGGCCTTGCTCTTAGGGAGTAAACAGATGTTGCACAAAAAAGCACAAAGGAAAGCCATCTTGCCTAGCAGTAGGTAACTGGTCTTTATCTTTTCGTAGCTCTTGAAATTGGGGCTGACCTCCCATCTAATCATGTCATTGATCGTTGGCTTGGGGAGCCCATCAAAGCAGCCATTCTCCCCACCAGCATTTTCCTGACCAATAAGAAGGGATTTCCTGTTCTTTCTAAGATGCACCAGAGGCTGATCTTCCGGCTCCTCAAGGTGGGTGGTAGAAGGGTTTCAAAGGTACTCCAGCTAATCCTCTTGCCTTACTCACATGTGTGTGATGCTTTTTTTTCTGTGGGGCTTTCTTTTCCTCTCTGGTTTCTGGAGAGCAATTTCAGCATAGTTGGAGGTCTTGAGAACAAAGACGCAAATGGCAGTAAGAGTCCCAGAAACACTTTAAAAGGAACCAGATCTCATGAGAACTTTACAGAAGGTTTCATTTAAGATGTTATAGCATGGATCCATGGGGCTATTTGAGCCAGGATGATGCTTATATGACATAGGAGGGACATAGGAGGGCTTTATGAGTTTATTGAAGCCTCATGCTGTTCTCTTGATACCTGGAGGGATTTGTTGAACTAGAAAACTGCTGGTCCAGGTCTTATTTTACGCTAGGGTTCTTTGGCCATAAACCATAACAGTATCCCAGAATCTTGGTTCGAGGACTGCGTCTGATGGTCTGACCTCTCCCACAGTTGGAAGTACAGTTCATCATCACAGGCACCAATCACCACTCAGAGAAGGAGTTCTGCTCTTATCTCCAGTACCTGGAATACTTGAGTCAGAACCGCCCTCCACCCAATGCCTACGAACTCTTTGCCAAGGGCTATGAAGACTATCTGCAGTCCCCACTCCAGGTGGGTCTGGAGTATGCTGAGAGGAGGGAGCTTGGGGGGGAAATGTCTCTGGCAGTAGCTGCCCTAAAATCCTACCAAAGCTCAGGAGGCAGTGGGAAAGTTTTTGGTATTCTGGTACATTGACCCTGCCAGAAACTGGCTGCCTAACTTTGCCTTTTTCCTCTCGTTCATTAGCCACTGATGGACAATCTGGAATCTCAGACATATGAAGTGTTTGAAAAGGACCCCATCAAATACTCTCAGTATCAGCAGGTATAGGGTGGGTCCGGGTCAAGTATAGGGCCGGGATGACCTGGGTGAAGATGGGATTGTAGCCACGAGTTCTTCTCTCCCTCCTTCTCCAGGCCATCTATAAATGTCTGTTAGATCGAGTGCCAGATGAAGAGAAGGATACCAATGTGCAGTGAGTGCTCTTCCCCATAATCCCAGAGATTTGCATAGTTACTTCTTTATCTGCCGAGTCAGCTGACACTTCCCCTTTCTTTCTCAGGGTGCTAATGGTGCTGGGAGCAGGCCGGGGTCCCCTGGTGAACGCTTCCCTGCGGGCAGCCAAGCAGGCTGACCGGCGGATAAAGCTGTACGCTGTGGAGAAGAACCCAAATGCCGTGGTGACGTGAGCAGCAACATCCTTGCTGGAAAGTTTGTCTCCAGTGCCAGTTTTTCTTATCAGTGTCCTCACTTACATTATCTTTATCTTAGGTTAGAGAACTGGCAGTTTGAAGAATGGGGAAGCCAGGTGACGGTAGTCTCATCGGACATGCGGGAATGGGTGGCTCCAGAGAAAGCAGACATCATCGTCAGTGAGCTTCTAGGCTCCTTCGCTGACAATGAACTGTCACCTGAGTGCCTGGATGGAGCCCAACACTTCCTAAAAGGTGCCTCCAGGCTGGCATGTACTGAGTAAGGGGAATGGATTATCAGCTAGGAAGGCTGTGGCAGGTTGTGGGGGCTGGGGTGGGGGTGGGGGATAGGGCAGTAGCAGCGGAGAAGGTTGCAAGGTTTAGGGGAAGGTGGGTTGGATTTGGGTCAGTGCCCTTAGCAAATGAAGTAATCTTTCTGAACCTCAGCATTCCCATCTGTAAAATGACAGGAGTGGACTAGAGCAGAGTTTCTCAGTCTGAGGTCTGTGGATTCCCTGCACTGACATGATATGTACCTTGGGCTTAGCTTTCATCCAGATCTCAAAGGGCTTTTATGACCCCACAGAAGACTACTAGATTAGAATATCTTAGGTTCTTTCCAGTTTTTTTTTTTTTAAAAGATTTTATT